TTCAAGATATATTATGGCGAAACAAAATATTATTCGACCCTACACCAATAATAATAAATATTCCTCCACAATCAGCAATTAAAACTGCTGATCATCCACCTATCTATTCAAAACAATATCCAGCATCATCTAAAGATCAAGAAATTAAATTTCAAGAAACACAAAAATTATTAGAACGTGGTCAAATTGAAGAATCAACTTCACCATGGTCATCACCGATTGTTCTTGTCAAGAAAAAAGACAAAACAATGCGATTTTGCATTGATTATCGACGATTAAATGCTATTACAATTAAAGATGCATTTCCATTACCTCGTATTGATGAAATCTTTGATCAATTATCTGATGCAACATATTACACAAAATTCGATTTTAAATCTGGTTATTTCCAGGTACCTCTATCGAAAGAGGACCGTCCTAAAACGGCTTTTTCAACCCGTGACAACCATTATCAATTTACTGTACTTCCTCAAGGTATTACAAATGGACCCGCTACATTTCAACGTGTAATTAATCATATATTAGGACCCACAAGATGGAAATACGCATTAGCATATATTGATGATGTCATCATTTACTCCAAAACATTTCAAGAACACTTATCTCATCTGAATGAAATTTGTCAAATATTAAAAGAAGCTCGTTTTCGTCTCAATCCAGAAAAATGTGAAATTGCTCGAACACAAACTGATTATCTTGGACATCGTATACAAAATGGTGAAATTCGTCCAAGTCCTACCAATATACATGGTCTACTAAATACAAGATTACCACAAACAGCAGATGAAGCTTGTAAATTCGTTAAAGCTGCTGAATATTATAGAAAATTTATACCAAATTTTTCTCAAATCGCCGAACCACTTAGAAAATTCGTACCAACTACTCGAACTCAACGAAAGCAAGGACAAAAAACTATTATTACATTAACAAGTCAAGAAATTAAAGCCTTCGAACAACTTAAAAAATTTCTTACAACTGATCTGGTATTACGACTTCCAAATAATAGATTCCCTTTTAAGGTACAAACCGATGCTTCGGATGAGGGAATCGGTGCAGTTTTATTACAAATTTATCCCGAAGAAGATAGACCAATTGCATATTTATCAAAGAAATTTACTCAAGCACAACGTAAATGGTCTCCTATGGAACAAGAATGTTATGCATTTATATGTGCATTAGATAAATGGCACAATTATTTAAGTGGAATTACATTTATTTGGGAAACTGATCATAAAGCATTAACACAATTAAATAAAAAAGCACAAGTTAATAAACGATGTGAAAGATGGAGATTAAAAATTTTAGAATATGATTTCAAGGTGAAATACATTCCTGGTTTAACAAATTCAATGCCAGATTATTTATCAAGGTCTCCAGTCGACGATGCTGAAGAGGATCCTGATGAAACTACACATCTTATTTCAAAATCAACACAAACCGATATTGCAAATATTAATAATTATTCCTCTATCATCGCAGCTGTTGAAACTCGTGCTATGAAATTACGAAACAAAACTTTAAATGACATTTCAGATACAACAAAATTAACATCAGATTCTCTAAATACCTCTATTGAAGAGAATCGTACAACTCCATTTTCCATTGAAGAATTAATTCAAGCTCAACAAAATGATAATTATGCAAAAAATATTCTAAACAACATCAAGAAATATAAAAATTATATGATCAAAGATAATCTTTTAATGCGTCGACTAAATCATCCAGTTCCTTATGTACCACAAGGCGATCTTCGAAGGACAATTTTACAAATTTGTCATGATACTGCAGCAAATGGTGCTCACTTCGGAAGGGATAAAACAATACATAAAATTAAACAACGTTATTTTTGGCCTTCGATGTACAAGGATATCAATAATTATATTAAATCATGTATTACTTGTGCTCAATATAATCCTCGTCGGAAAAAACTCCTGGTAAATTACGACCAATTAAACCTCCTGAAGGTGTATGGCAACTAGTAGCTATGGATTTTCATGGTCCTATTACTTCAACATCTCAACGTGGAAATAAATATATTATATCTCTTACAGATGTCTTATCCAAATTCGTTGTTACAAAAGCTGTACGTGATAATACAGCTCAAACAGCTGTTCGATTTCTCAAAGAAGATATTATTTCAAAATTTGGAACTCCTCGTTGTATCCTGACTGACAATGGAACACATTTTACATCAACATTAATGAATGAACTAATAAAACAAATTGGATCAACACATTTATATTCAACACCATACCATCCTCAAACAAATGGTCAAGTTGAAAGATACAATTCAACTATGGATGCAAAAATTGCAGCTTTACCAAATTTACATAAAACCGATTGGGATGATCAATTACCATTTGTTACATTTAATTACAATACTTCAATTCATTCCTCCACAAAACAAATACCATTCGAAATGATGTATGGTCGACTACCTGTTTTACCATTTGATTATCAAGA